TAAATAACGTTAAATTATCTTTACATATTCCTCACCTCCGAAACCAAGACCTTGAGACCGAAACTCAATAGATCAAGAAGTGACCGTGAATTTTAGACTTTCAATTACACTAATTAATCAATATGAAATACAAGATCTTATCTACCTTCTAAGAACATTAGTGATATTTAAAATATCTTTATGTAATATTAATTACATCACTAGTATCCTTATATTATTTTTTATTTTAATTTTTTATGATATTATGTTAATGCATGATTTGTGTGTAATTTGACTTTATTAATTTGTTATTTTTTAATTATGGAATTGAAATGTTGAATTATTATTTTATTAGTATTATTTTATTAATATATGTTATATGTAAATATTTCAATATTTTTTTAATATTAAGTAAAGTTTAATAAGTATATAGGAGTCATGTTAACTTGATCTTGAGTAACCATACGAATGTTTTGACCACGGTTCATGACTAGTTAATTGTGCCTATGATCAATGACAGATATAGTTTCCAAAATATGGATAACTATATAAATACATCTTTCAAGCTGAACAAACCTTTGAAACACCCTTCATATACAAATACATTCAATTCATTGATATATGTTCGAAATAAATTCTAGAGAAATGAAGTTCACACCTCAAGCTGTTCATGCAACCGCTTCTGAACCTCCATTTGTAGTCGTAGAGCTTCAGTGATCTCAATACCACTATCAGTAATACAATAGTAAAGTCATCATAATAATTACTGTTTCTGAAATATTACTAAAAACTTTACATGGAACCATATATTGGCCTTATTGTGGTCTTAATCCGGGGTCACTGAAAATTCTAAGCCACTTGGTGATCCAAAGACTAATACTTTTTGGACCTTGTCGTAGCTTCTATTCCAAGATACAGTAACAAAGCCTCTTCTATTTTAATCCTTATATTCATTCCTCTCAGGTTAAGTGGTAAGATACAAATAGTAACTGCCATCTAAACAAACTTAACAGCGATTCCATATACAATAACGTGCAACATAATCAATTCAATTTCTTCTGGGAATGTAACATTTGCACCAGCAAAAGTCATGTTAATGAATGAGCTTCTGTCTATCAATTTGATGTATCAGCATTTATGGTAATACTGCATTACATATATTATTTAAAAAGAAGTAAATAGTATATACTTACGTTTTTAAATCTAGAGATGACATCTCTTCAATGGAACCTGCTTTTTTCTCCGCAACTCCTGCCAACAGTAGTCAACGAGCAAACTGTTGATCAGCTTACGACACAGATGATTATGACTCTAGTTTCAAGGAATTGACTCAAGACACAAAACTTCAAGACAACAATCACTGGGGTCTTGGTCAATTTGTCAGACAAAGTTGGTGATTTTTGAGTTTCTTGAGCAAACATAGGTTTCTTGATGCAGAGGGTGGTTCATGGAGAGACAGAGAATTGGGAAATATCCAAGAGGCTAAGATTAGTTATGAATTGCTTCACCCCCTTACTGTCATGTATAAAGTCTAATATTAGACTTGTACAAGTTTTTAGTATATATGATAGATGCACCTTTCAATTTTATTCCTCTTTTTTTTTTTTTTGTTAGGTCTGTGTTCCTGTTAATTTATTTTTAAAATTTTAGTGTCTTAACTGTAAATGAACAATCATAAACTTTTTGAATAGGCTCCTTCTAAATGAGAAAGCTTTCGTTTTGTCATTAGGAATTAAACTACTTATTCAATTTGTGTTAGCCGCACCATCGTGACTAATGACCACAACTTCACGGACTAAAATGAAACATTTCTTTTAATAAGGATGCAAACAGAAAAAAAAAAAAGTTCTGAGAATCAAACGAAAAAAAAACATACTTTCTCAAATCTTGAATATGAGCCAAAAATCTAATTTATGCTACTCAAGAAAGTTGGTTAGAATTATTTAATTGCAACAATTCCAAATAAAAAATAAACTTCTTTCCAAAACTATTTTTCATTGGAACTTGATATCAAGAGTAAACAAGAGTCACTGGAAATAAAATCTAAATTAAAGGAAGGGTTTTCTATGAATAATTTCATTATAATAGGGTAAAAATAATTAAAATTTTGCTTATATATGAGACCAGCATCCGTGAGGTTTTTTTTGCCTTATAAAGGGGGTATGACCAAAAGGTTATTTAAATCTTAATTTTCTTAGTATATTCAAATACGTTTAGATTTTCTGAAGTGTCTACATTTTCAAAAGATATTAAGGTAAGCCCTTCACAACTAATATATGCATAGTATTGGAAAAGAATCCAAGTGCGTATTATCTAACTCGATCTTACAGGCAAAGGATTAAACTCATTAACATCGGTTTAAGATTTTAAGTGCTTTACACGATTCAATAGTTTGTCGCTAAAGGTGATTTGCATTAATGTAACCCTTGAATGCACAAGATACCATGCATTAATTGGTATTTAATAAATTAGTAAAACATTTTCTTATGTTTGAAAAGCATATTAAAGAAACCTAGTTTACAATCAAGAATGATCTACTTTTATTCCTACAATAATTAGCATCACAGAATACTCAAACAAAACAGGTATTTATAATTAATGCATGCTGGTAAATATTATACGAGACATAATTTATGTACCTTCAGATGACTCCGGTCTATATCTAGCTGTCCTGTATTTCTTCATCTCGAGACAAATATGTTTCAGTAAACGTACACATGCTACCAAACAAACCAAAGGAGTTAAAAGCAAAGTGCACAAACCTGCAAATGGCTTTTCACATGATATATAGTTAATCCTTCAACTTTCATGAGCTTCAGCACACCCTTTGGAGTAGCTCCTGCAGAAAGAAGACAGAAAAACAGGAAAAAAATAAAATAAGAACAAAGCTTAGCAAAGTAAGGCTAAAGTTACCAAACAGAGAAAAATAGATTATTGTACTTTCACTTCCCCCAAGTTGGTTGACAGCCTCCACAAACGCCTCGTGAAGTTCTGGTGTCCAACGCATTCGTGACTTGGCAGGAGTAGAATTTGCTGAGGAGGAGAGGGTAGCTCCAGAGCAATTGTCTCCATATGAAGCAGGAAGTTGTTGTAGACCTTGGGATTGATGTCCTGGAAACTGTGAAAGTGGTTTTGCAACCTGGAATGGCACCTAAAGCCACAAAATGAGATCCGAACATATTCCTTGAATAAATTATGTATCAGTTTACTCTGAAAGCTAATATTGATTTGAGTTATGAAATAGTTCACCTTTGGCTCAATGTCTCGAATGTTGTCAGTGAGAAGGTCATCCCAATTAGAAGTCAAAGTGTCATCATCACTGATTAGCCGCTCAGCCCACTCCTGCCAATCATTTTGCTTAGAATACTCCTCGGATGCCATTATAGGGCAATCACTACTTTCTACCCTATTATCGTCCATTGAGTCATGTGCAGGAAAATCCAGAAAACTTGGCAGGGACTCTGTATGCCAGGAAGCACTGTTTTCTTTGGAAAAATGGGTTGGTGTTGCTGAAGTTGGTGGTGCAGTACTCGAAGAATATGATAATGGAAATTGGGCAATGTTGGTTGATGATTGTGAAATAAAATGAGCGTTAGAAGAGTTTTTTTCATCAGGTGAAAGAGATGAGTGATGAAGGTCAATTGAATTTGCAGAGGAAGACGAAAAAATATGCCCAACTACTCCGTTGGAATTCAAATAACTTGAATGAGTATAAGGTCTTGTCATAAGTTCTTGATCTACAATATCCAATTGTGATTCAGGCAGCCTAGGATACATATCTTCTGTGGGTATTGGAAGGATTGACAAAGATGAAGAAAGTGCTCCAGACATCCCCATGCTATTGAGTTGCTTTGATCTTTCAATGGAGAAAGTAGGATGTGCTTCCATTATTTTCCTTCATTGTTGATTGAAAGAATAAAATATCAGTTTTCAGTGAATTTATAAAATCTTAAACCCTGCATTTTATCCCATAATGCTCACCAGCAAAATACCACTCAACTTGATTTTTGTTTTTGATACCCAAACCAGACTATTTGTCATCAATCTTCAGATCTGTGAAAGGAAAAAGCACTCTAGTCTGTAATATAAAAAAGTTACTCAATAAAGAAAGCAACTCACTAGTAAGAACTTCTGAAGATTATAAAACCTCATTATCAAAGACAGACTAGATAAAAAGCATGCCCAATCCTCAAAGCAAGTAAAAACCAGAAACAGACTAATGAAATCATCATTGCAGTTGATCACAAACCTCAAAGTTCAAAAGCAAGACATTAAGTTAATTTCTGTAATAGTTGATAGTCCACTGTGATTAGGTTAATTCCTGTAATAGTTCTAAAGCACGACCATTTTCTCTCTATCTCTCCATCCCCAATTCAAAACCACTCTTATTTTCATCAGCAGTAGCAAGAGAAACTGATAATCAAGTTATCTCCGGCATCACCTAAATTTTTTTCTGTCCAGTTAGAGAAATGAAACTACGAAGAGATTTCAGGCGCCTAAATACCAGAAGATAAACCAATAGCCCACAGGCTACTCCCAATATGGAACCACCTCTTGCGATCATTACGCAACCATAGCATTGCTACCTTTCTCTCAATTTACACAATAAATACTGCAAGAAAGACATGCAGTCCAACTACAGACAACAAACTCCAAATACAGAGTGAAATTCTCATCCCAAATCTTTCATTTTTCAACATAAAACTTTCTCTGACACAAGTCTATCACAGGCTAAAGAACAGACCGAGCATAGTTTCCTCGTATTCGTAACCATCTTTCCTTCAAACGCGTCAATCCATCTATTTTTAAAGATTAGAATTCTCTTTTTACAATACCTTTGATTTACAAACCAAACATGAGAAGAAGAGTGGTTACAGCCTAGCAAGCGGAACAACATCTATTCTCTCTCTCAATGAAATACAAATGGAGTATGAGTATTTAACCGCTAAACGTTTTAGGTTCTTTCTATATTGTTTCTATGAAGTTTAGAGTTCAGAGAAAGATGATGCCAATCCAATACAAAAAAGAAGAAGAAAAACACAGACCAATTTTCAAACACTTTCACACAGCAAACAACACATAAAAAAAGGACGAAAGAAATTCGTACTCGCACGAATAGGCATGCAAATTGATATAACATATACAAAATCAATGAAATCAACAATAAACTTCAAATTTAAGAAGGAAAAAACAAGAGTGAGAGAGAGAAACAGAGGCGGTAAGAAAACCAGCGTAGGATCGGAATTGCGAGGGAAGTGGAGTTGGGCAATGCGATGCGAAGTGGAGTGAAGTAACGCAACAAAAAACGTGAAAATGAAGCAAAACATAATGAGATCAGATACCCCGAAATTCCCCTACACGACTAAGAAAACGGTGTATCGAATTCTTACCCCAGCGAATTGGAATCGAAACCAGAGAAGATGAATGGAACAGATTCTGGTCAGAGCAAGAGAGAGAGAGAGAGAGAGAGAGAG